CCTCCAGCGTCGTCCCGTTGCCTCCCCGCAACACTTCTCTCTCCTCGCTGCTTTCTGGGCTGTCCCCTGGGCCTCAGCTTGCCCAGGCCCCGGTGTGTTGTGCTTTTCCTGTTATTTATCCCCGCGTCCCCTTAGCCCCATCCCTGCCTTTATGGCCGTCTGTTTCTTAGTCGTGGGCAAAATGCGTAAAGGGGCCTCAGAACTGCGGAGTTTTTAAGGTGCAAATGCTTTGCGTCCTATTAAAAAGCTGTGTGTGATGAGGGAGGGCTTGACAACATGAGTGAGGCTTCTGGAAGAAGTTTGCGGTGGTGTTTGCTTTAATCTGCAGTCTGTGGTAGCTTCTTGTCCTGATCACTGGTTTCTTGACTCTAAAAGCCTCTGTGGCTCCCTTCTTGGCCTTCCAGATGTAGTTTCTTCACATTAATCAAGTGATCAATGGAGGCAGAAGTTACTGTTGCTGACAGCTCTCTGTTTTGGTTTAAAAGAGTTCTGCTTGTGTTTTGAAAGAATTCTGTGTTGTCCTGCACCTATATTTGTGGAAAACTAGTTATTCGGGATGGCTGGTGGGTGCAGATGGTGGTGAAGATCTGCAGTTCCGGGGGGATGTTATCTGTTGTGTCGCAAAAGAAAAGCGGTGTGGTGGTGATGGGAGAGGGGAACTGTGCGTTTGGGGCAATGCTTTTTAAGGGTTTCTGCGTAGTTCATGAAATGCTCTGTAAATCCCCAAAATGAGGTTGTTAATTTTGCGCTGGTCAAAAACATGCAACGTTTTGCCACCAGAAACATCTGAAGAAGTTAATGAAGTGGGATGTGACTAGGAGCAGCATTACTATGCTCTTGTAGCAGTGCAGGGGGTCTGCCAGAACTTTGTGGGAGCTCCCCTTCAGCCTTTGGGATGCAGCGAATGTCAGGGGGCCATTTGTGACTTATTTGTAGGGAATTTTCAAGGCTATGTAATTGTCTGATATGCAACCACGTTCATATTGTTCCACTTCAGGAAAAGCAAACTTTTCTCTGAAGCAATAAATTAGGAGGTTTGTGCTGCAAACACATTCCACTATCGTTTTGAGGAATTTGTGGCCAGCAGTTGAGTGCTGGAAGAATTTCTCCTGGTGCAATACTTTTCCCTTACATAGAAAACTTTCAAACTGGCCTCAAACAAACATTCTCAGCAGCAAACACTGTAGTGTCTAGTTCCTGTTAGGGTGACTCTTAATAGGGTGTCTCTTAACCACCTGGATCCATTGCTAAGCTGTGGTTGCAGATTTTTACGATCAAAGTGGGGCACGGGTTTAGTTTTGTAGGTATTTTTTTGTGAATTGCAACACTGAGCTACCCAAGCACTGTGGAAGGTGGAAGTGCAGTAATGCCTTTGTCCACCTTCTGTATAAACACAAGCTTTGTTATTACAGCAGTTTCTCCCTCCCTACTTCATCCGCCGCTTTACAGCATTTATGTAAACATGGGGCTCCAGCAGCTCCACCCTTTCACAATGAAATCTCCCTTCTAGTGTTCTTGCCGTTGGCTCTTGGCTTGTAAGTGAGCTTTGACGCTGGGCCAAGCTAAAGGCCACAGCTCTGTGAGTGTTTGCTATTAGGTTTCCTCAAATAAGCTGCTATTGCCCGAGTTGGAATAGCCTCATTCTTCTGTCTTGGTAATTAGCGTGCTAAGGTGAAGCTTTTTTTTTTTGTTGTCAGAAAAACAAGCCACAGTCTGAGTGATTTCCTGTTCTGAAAATAACTTTTTATCTTATCAAAAACATACAAAATAATTTTATTTCTTCTGAGTTAGAAAAATGATTTGACTCTTGCTGTTAGATTGACCTTGTCAAAGGAGACTGGCTCTTCCTTAGTAGCAATTCTTATCAGCTTCATTCATTTAATAAGCTATGTTTAAAACAAATCAAGAACCCCAACAAGGAGAACCCCAACAAATAAAACCCATACAAAAATTGAAGATATAGAAGGCTGGAAACAATTGAGAGGTTTCCAGAAATAGTTAGTAGTTGGAATGTTTCTCTTGACTTAAGATGTTTGGGTTTTTTTTTAACCTTAACATTGAATACTAGAATATTGCAGCCTGACTTAAGATGTTTGGGTTTTTTTTAACCTTAAGGCTGCAATATTCTAGTATTCAGTGTTATGTTTTGTGTAATTCTCAGAGTATTTGCTATTGCGTGAGGACGTTAGGGTTAATGCTAGCGATGAGCCAAACATGCCAGTTTCTAGTGCTTTATCAAGAGGAAACATCCAACTGACGGCGCTGGATCGCAGCTGTGGTGTTAGGTTCTGATTAAGGAGAGTTATCTTCACAATTAACTGGCTTCCGAAAGGGAAGTAAGGCCTCTCCTATTCTGTGATACTTTAAAGATTGCAGTTCCATGTTAAACTATTATTTGGAAGATGTTATTTTTCAATGCTTGTTCAGAAATACTTGTGGCCTTTTGATGTTGGTAGGTCTCAGGCTTCAGTTGCTCAGGTTGAAAATACCTTTCACAGTAACTAACTTAGGATTACACAAACTGTAAGTTTTGCTATTAGTCTCCCACAAATAATAAAATGCCTTCTGTGTACAGGGTTGGTACGATGTGATGGCACTTTCACTGCACTGATAAGGTGATCCCAATTAGATGTAGGATAAAATGTTAAAGCATATTTTTCTGCCCATTCTGGGCTGAAGGATCCTGGTTACCACTTTCCCACAGTCTTATTCAAATGTACCAGGATCAACTCTTATCCGAAAGGAGTGGAAGAAGTGGGGAAGATTTTTTTAATGGAAATAAGCTGGGAACTGAGTGTAACCTGTTAGTGATGAGTCCCAGGCCATCTCTTCTCAAAGAGGCAGACTTCACCCTTGCATGCATCCTGTGTAAATGAAAACAGTGTGTGTGCTAACACCTCAGATGCTTAAGTATGTCTGAAGTCAGCAGCTGAGCGATGATGAGTAGAAGCCGGATTCTTCCAAGTGGTTAAACCTCCTGTGAGAGGCGAGACAGTTATTAGCGAGCCAATGCGTTGGAGTTGTCCGTATGTGGAGCGGTAGGTGCTCTGCAGGGCTGTTGCTTGGTGGCAACTGGTGACGGGGTGTGTGGGATCACGTGAAGCGGAAGGATTTGTGAACTAAATCTGTCAACTCTAAGTGCTTAAAGCTGTGATAAAACCAGGGAGGAAAGCATGTGTTCCATATTAGTTATTTTTTTGTTGGTAAGTTGAGTAAGTAAGTTTTGTTGGTTAGTAAACTGGCAGAGTAAATAAGCTTAAATCGAACTGAATAGCTTTTGCAAGTATTCTGAATTAAGCAGCTGTCTCTAGTCGTGCTTACAAGGTGCAAACTACCTTGTGTCTGGTTGACACTGATCCCTCCCCTCAACCCCCTCTACCCAATCACCCAGACAAATGCACATCTGTCCAGATGTGGCTAAATAGGTAGGATGTGCTCCAGGTAAAGAGCTAGTATTACTCTAATCTGCTGGGAAATGATGTTGAAAGCAGTGTTGAAGGAACCAGAGGGGCTTGTTTCAAGCACGTTAAGTGACTTAGAACCCAAGGACAGCACAGCTATAATACTCTGCTGCACAGAGCATCTGCTGTCAGCCATGTGTCACTGACTTCTCTTCCCCTCTTCTGAGCGCTCAGGGACCCATCTGCTTATTTGCCAGGTTGACTTGATTCTCTTAGGGTGATCTTATTACAGCTAGATTACAGGTTAGCTGTGTCAGGATTAGTGTCCTGCTGTTACAGTGAGTAATATTTATGTGTCAGGAATGTTTTATGCAGAGATGTCAGAATTAATAGTGGGGATAAAGGAAGATACAGAACTTGCTGTACTTCTGCAGTTCTAAGCTCAGTCTTCCAGTACCTTGTCCAGAGGTTGGTTTGCCTTTAGCAACTGATGTCCCTCCCTAGAGTATTCTGCAATCTGATTATCTTTTCCTAGAAGAAACGATTTTCTTACTTTTAGCGACAACTTGTAAAAATGCTTTAAATCGCATTTTAAACTTGCTTTTTTTTTCCTGTTTCTGCTTTCCTTCCAATTAATGATTCAAGGTCCAACTGCATATCTATTTATTGATTTATGAATGCAAAGAGAACAGGGATATGACCTTTCCTCATCTGATGTGGCACATGTGTGTGATGTTTACTACTTTCCATGTGAGGATCTTATTTAAAAAAATCTCCCTGTACTTGAGCCTTTATCAGCTGAGCAAGACATGGAAAAGGATCCATTTCTACAGCTTCCTTGCCAGACTGTGGGGAATTAAGTTATCCTACAACTAAGACTGGAAACAGAGAAGGAGATTCGAATTTTCTTGTTAGAGAAACTAACACCAAGTGATTCTGTTTGAACCCACATGGCCAATTTTTGGTATTTATCCTCCTTATAAGACACAAGGCCTTGCTAAAAAGCATTTGGAGCAGTGGGACTGCATAAGAGATTTTCTCATCTGCACCATCCACATAATTTTCTGGTGTGTTTAAGAGTTTGTCCAAACACCCTGCCTAACACCAAACATCTGATGGAATGACAATACACTGTGATATTTGTTAAACACTTGGCCAAAACCCAGCTCTGTTAGGTAAGATCACTATAGTCATCTAATTCCTCCTCAGTCTGATGCAATGACACTAGCTAGTGTGCAAACATGAGCTGTCTTGATTTGTCTACAGTCTCTTTTTTTAATCCCTATTTTGTTTAATCAGTGATGCAAGTTACTTAATTTCTTTCAGACATTTTCTTGCGTATTCCTCCATCGTATGGCCAGGTAATTAGCAGCAACACATTTAAAGTTCTTGCTGTTCAGGTTATTAGAAGAGTTGGTTGATTCCAGTGAAATAATTGGTTGCATCTGAAGGTATCCTAAAGAAATTTGTTCTTTATATGATTAGATAGGTGTTTTGCATGAATATCTAAGTGTGGATTTCTGTCACCCTGCTTTCTCTTTGACGGCTGCTGCAGATGACTGTGTATGTGATTTGTAACCTTCCTGTCCTTTCTTACAGGATGACGTGAGGCAGAAAGTGCACCTGAATACCTTTGGCTTCTTCAAGGGTGGTTTCATGACAGTCAATGTCAGCAACCTTTCACTGAAGCCACCCCTGGGCTCTGATGACAAGAGCAGCTTATCAGTAAGTTGGAGTCCAAGAACTGCGTTAAGCTTCCTTAACTTAACAGATGCCTTAACTTTTTTGAGGTGTCAGATCTGAACTGATGGTGCTGCTAACTTTGCTCCCCATTGTGAGCCATTCATGAGGATAGGCATATTGTGAGACTTATCCTTGAGCACTGTCCATTCTGCTTTAAGGATAAACAGCAACTTACTAGATCCTCTGCTGAACTCCGTGCACGCATCTATAACCTGTGTTGAACATGGGTTTCCTAAGCAGTCCTCTGATATTCACACTGTTGTCCTGTGGTGTTGCAGTGCATCTTGTAATTGTTACATCAGCGAGTTTCCAGAACACCGACTGCCGTATTTTCAGAGGAATGCTACGTGTTATATAGCACATTATATTAGTGATTTTTAATAGACAGACTGAAATATTTAGGTAGAAACCAGATCTGTGTTCCTACATTTCTGTGCAGTCCAAACTCTTTAGTAATAAAAGTTGTTTTTGCTTGAGGAAAGCATTTAATATCTGGAAAAATACTGAAATAAGTTAAAAGGTTCAGGGACAGAAAGTACTCTAGTTTAGATTTGACTCAGTATATTCTTGGTGGATATGGATGAAACAGTTTATTATATTTGAATAATTTTTTGTCTCTAGCTAGGTAATGAGAAAAATAGTGCCTTAAATGTGGGTTAATTTATTTAGAGAGCAGTATCTTTGACTCGGTGGTGGCTTGGCTTCTGATACTACATGAACCTGAGCTGTTCTAATTTGACAGATTCTTCTCAATTGTCTCATAGGTGGGGTTCAGCTTGGATCGCACAAGGAACGATGGGTTCTCCACTTACCTGGTAAGAGGCATGAGTTACTTTTTGAAGCTGAGGACATCTCATAGTCTGTCTTACTCCAGGAATGGTTGGAAGAAATAAAAAAGGCAAAGGCTAGTGGGGGGAGAGCTTTAGACATGGGCAGGTTGTTAAGGATAATTCAGTTCTGGAACTTGTTGGAGTAAGAATGGTAACCTCTACCTGGGGGGGGAACATGTCCAATTTCCTATAAACAGGAGAGCACTTGAAAGATGTTTTGCTTGTATTACCAGGATGAAGAAGTGGATTACTGTATCTTGAAAAAGAAACCAGAGCAGGAGGTCTCTGTTGTAATCTTACTTCTGGACTTCAAAACTGAAGTGTGAGTAAATATTGTAAGCTACATTTTAAAGTTATTTCTCTATTTGAAGTTAACGTTACACTTGTGAAATTTCTTTAAGGGCTTGGAAAGCTGCTGTGCACGTGGTTTAACTTAATGGGTTGCATGAGAGTTGAGGTGAGAGTGAAAGAACAAAAATCTCAAGTGTAAAATGGTCCAAGAACTCTTACTCTGTGTTGGAGCTAAAAGGGGACGTAGGGCAAAAGAATCTCACCTTAATTGTGCTGAAGGCATGAACTTAAAGTCTTGGATCACTTCTGCAGCTCTTGCACTGAATATGTTGGTTTATTGTTTGTCCTGAATTATCTGTTTCATGGAAGTACCTCCGAGGCTGCGTTGCTTTCTTTTGCTAGAGCAGCTGTAACTGTGTGAAAACGTAATGAGGCCATCTCTACCGAAGGTGAATACACTCATTTTTCTTCAGCTGCTCTTGTAACTCTGTAGTGTGACTTCTCCCACAATGATCAGTTCAGTGCTGGGCTGCTGTAAGCCATGAAGTGGTGCTTGCCTGCTCTTTGTGGTTAAAAAAAAAAAGTCAAGTTGATTTTCCTTTATTAGGTATATGTAGGCTAGAACAGCCTCTTTATGACTGTTGATTTACTTTCACTTTGTATTCAACCCTCTTTCTTTATTTAGCGTGAAAGTACGGTTCTCTGCAGAAGCTGCTTCTTTGTTACCTAAAATTTCATTTGTGTCTGAAGAAAATGTTACTGCCTTAAGTACCAAATCGGTACAGACTTCCCATTCTGATAACAGTCCTGCGCAGACCAACCAAAATACAGACAGCAAAGGTAAGCCTGCTGGTCCTGGTAAGTGCTCTCACTGCTAGTTCCTAGTGAATGTGTGTTCTGCGTTTTCTTGAATTCTGGGGTCCCCTCGGGCTAGAACTTGATGTACAGTCTCATGTAAAACTGTGCACAGAGCTGCCTTTTGGGCTGGAGTCTCTCCTGCTCAGTCATTTGTGTTAGCCATTTGTGATGATCCACCAGAGACCTAATGTGGCTGTTGGAGACCTACAGTACCTGTGGAGAGGGATGAGGTACTTGATTGTCTTTTGCCTGGCAAAAAGGCAGCTGAGGGGGAACTTGGTAGCCACCAACTCTTAGTTGAAGGAAGGTTAGAAGGACAGTGATGCCAAGCTATTGTTAGTAACGGCACACAATGAAACCTGTGGTTGGTTCCCCCTTATGAAGTCTTGGGTGTCTCCAACTGAATGCTAGGAAGGAAGATAAGACTTTCCTAGATGGGTACTACAGCACTGCAGCAGATCATATGTGGAAGTTGTAGAACCTCCATCCTTTGAGGCTGTAAACATTGGACTAAAACAAAGCCAGGGCCAGTGTGATACAGTAGTGACACTAGGTGTGCTGTGAGAATTTGGATTACAAATCTCCACAGGTCCTTTCCAGCCAATGCTTCCATTAATTAATGATTTTCTTTAGATGAAGAGTTGAAATGTCGTCTGTTGCTTAGAAGCTATGGGGATGGAGAAGTGACCACCAGTAACCTCTGTTGGAGGCACAAGTCTTTTGGCTTCCAGACTCGCACACAAACCAGTTTTGTAAAACCATCAGAGCTGAAGTTAGCTCTGAACAGTTCATGTTATCTCTTCCCAGAACAGTTAGAAGTGTAGCAGTCTGAGCTGAAGCAGTATGAGTCTGTCTTGCCATGTCATGTTCGTAAGCTTTGATAGAGGTGAAAATTTTGCACCGCTATTCAAACAAGTCTCAAACTGAAGCTTTTTCCTTCCCCGTGGCTGATTAGGACTTGCATATGTTTGTCAGGCCGTGTATTAATGTCCAGATTAAGATTACTGAGTGCAATTAACGGTACTCGGTGATAACACTAAAAGTCATAGCTGCAGACTGTGTGAAACACGGCTGTACCCTGTGTCTGGTATAGGTCACCTGCCTCCTGCATCGCTCTAAGTGGAGGGGTTGGAAAGGTTTCTTGGGTAGGCTTTTGTAGGAGGTGTAATAGTAGAGGAGCCTATCCTAGCATTTGAGGATGCATTGAGAATGAATACTGCTTGTGGGAAGAGTCCTGGGAGAGTAAGGAGAGTCTGGTAAAGAGTCTCTGTTAATGATTATCTAGGAAACTGCCATGCAGGCAAGTGTAGGAAGATTTGAGTAAGGTACTGGCAATGTGTAAAAGGTGGTAGTCTACGAGGATGTCTGAATGCAAACACCCTAAATGTACCATTAATACTTTTGTCTCTAGATAAGAGGTCCAAACGAAGTACAACGCCATCCCAGGTGAGAAACTATCTGCTGTTCTCTTTCAGAAAGAACCTGGGGGAATATTCCAGTATAAGCTTAGCTAGAAAGTGGAGGTTTGTTTTTTTGGGGTTTTTTTCTCTTGCTCTCAGTCTCCACTGTAAATGTACAGAATGCAGTTTGGATTGTCTGGATGATGTAGCTAAATGTGGTGGTTACCTGCTTAAAAAATATATTCTAAGTCTCTCTTGTTTTTCCCAGAACGTGGTAGAACAAGAACATCCTGTTCACAATGACAGAGGAACTTTCTCATTTCAGGTAGGGTGTCTGTCAGTGTCTAGTCTTAATGCGTGCAGACAGTTCCTTCACTGTCGTGCTCTGAAAAGTGAAAGGCTGGTATAGATGCCTCTCTGATAGCTCAGTAAATTTTTCAGTGGACTCTTGTTAAGTGCTGGAAATCTCTTCAGGAGGTGTGGGAGCTGTTTTAAACTCTTTGTGGTTCAGCTCTTAATATCTTAGTCTGTGAGCCTCAGTGTATTAAAGCTTGCTGTGGTGCAGCCAGGCTTCTAACAACAAATAGCTGTGACCCTACGGGCTGACTTAAGAGGAAGCTACTCTGCGTGAAAAGAGATTAATGCTTTGCTTCGGTACCCTGGACACTTGTGGTTGTTGGTTGCTATCAAACAAATGCATTTCAAATTCTGTTACATGACACAAATCTCATTTCTATAGCTGTCGCAATTTGGGGGCGAAACAGAATAGCTGCTTATGCTTCAGGGCAAGCACAATCAAAATCTCGTGCTTCACCCTGTTAAACGCACGATGCTTCCTGTTATCTTTTCTCTGTCCTGAAGTAAGTTAAATGCTGATACCCGAAGGTCCTCAATACTCAGTATGGATTACCAGAGTGTGTAATCAGGTGGGCACAATGATTGGGCATCTTGAGTTCTGTTGGAACTTGAGGATAGGCTGGTATCCTCAGAACACTGTGTGTGCTGAAAGGAACCGACTGACTCTTCTCATGCTTCAGTAGAGGTGGCTTCTTACCAGGGCATCCCTGTTGTGAACGAGAAGAATGCTGACTTTCTTGTTCCTTCTTTTCAGTTTTTTTTCAACATCAGCTCTGATAACCAAGAAGGTCTCTACAGCCTGTATTTCCATAAATGTGTTATCAGCGAGGGGTCGACTCATGATCAGCGGCTGTTTACTCTTGATGTGAGTATAGCTTCTAAAGTGTCATTATCTCCTTCCCTTCGACTGGAATGGGCAGCTCTCAGTTCTAGCTTGTATACCCAGCACACACGGCACATGAGTGCATGGGTGGGGTGGGAAGTGATTCAGAGTTGTGCATTTAATCTCTCTGGTTTTCTGAAGGAAGCAACTACAGTAAGAAGAATAAAAATACTAGTTATGGAGCAATGTCTGGAAATCTACAGACCACATGTGGGCTGGGTTCAGTCTACACAGTTGTGACCAGAGGCTGTAATGAGATGGGAGCTAAACCAGCTGTTTGTGTTTTGCTGTGCTCAGAAATCACTACTTTTTCACACACAATTGCAGATATTAAGGCTGTTGCTGCCATCTGGATTATTGGTGTTTGTGAATTCAGTGGTTTTGTTTTTTCTGGTCTAATTAAAAATGTGTTTTTTGCAGTCTTAGATGCACATCTTAAATGTTACAGCAAATGTCTTATCTCTGTTACTATCCAAGGGTTCGGTCCTTTGCTCTTTTGAGCCAGGGTGCATTGTCACAGCTCAGGCTTTCCCTGTTTTCCTGTGCTCCTGCTGGCATCTGTGCTGGTGTATCGTGACCTATTCTGTAACGAATCCTCTCATTGACCAAGGCAGCTCTCAGGCCCTTGAACTGGTTTTTAACATGGTTGTACTGGTGCTACTGCAAGGGAAAAGCAGGGGAACATGTAGGTGATAAAACTTAGCAGTCCTAACCCAACTCATCCTGGACTGCTTTAAATCTGCTTCTCAAGCTGTATGTTTAGATGACCAAGTATTTGAATTGTTGTTTGTTGCTTTGACCCACTGAAGAAACGGGAAAGGAAGAAAGCCTGCATAACTAACATGCTTGGTTGTACGTAGAGATGCAGGGCAGTTTCAGTAGTGCAAACTAGTCCTGATGCTTTATTTTAATGAAATCCCAGCACATACAACCAAGCTGTTTAGGGGCATAAATAGGATGTTAAATAAAGCTTCTGTTTTCTCAGTCACAGGGCGATAGGTTTGCAGCAAAGTGCTTCCCTTCTCTTGACAGGTGAAGAAATCCACTGTAGTAAACCTAAGAGTGAGGTGTTCAGATTTGTATGATAATCCTCACCTAAAATCGGGCCTGTGCTAAAAAAAACCTGCTTGTTATGTAAGGTTGTAGATACTGTTTCTGAATCAAAGGTGGGCAACCTTTGGTATACCTTCTGAAGTTTGGTATAGAGAACAGCTATTCTTTGGGAAAATTACTTGGCCTTTCTGAATTACACTGTATAACTGAAGCACTGGAAGGAACCTCTGTCCTTTTCTGCTTTTCATGGAAATTAGTGTTGTGGGTATAACTTTGCAAAAATGTTTTGGGATTCTTGAAGATCAAAAGTTGCTTTTCTGTAAGAGTCTCATAACAGGCACCACTTCAGAAAAGCTAACTAAAGTGAGCAAACTTGATTGTGAACTGTAATTGTTAACTCTGTGCTTTAACAAAATGTTTTTTTCAACTGTACACATAATACACCTTTTAATATTCAGATAGAAATTACGGAAAAGAATCCTGAAAGCTACCTCTCAGCGGGTGAGATCCCACTGCCAAAACTTTACATTTCCATGGCTCTCTTCTTCTTCCTGTCTGGGACTGTATGGATCCACATACTTCGTAAGCGCAGGTAAGTGGACTCGCTCAGTGTCAGTGATCAGTGTGGGCTGTGTCGTGGTTTAACCTCAGTCAGCAACTAAGCACCACACAGCCACTCGCTCACCTCTCCCCTTCCACAGTGGAGTGGGGGAGAGAATCAGGGAAAAGCTAAATTAACTTGTGGGTTGAGATAAGAACAGTTTAATAATTGGAAATAAATGAAGTAAAATAAGGATACTAATACTATTAATAGTATGTAATGAAAATACTACTGCTAATGATAATAGATTCTCTTGAAGAGAAGAAGCTGGAAGCACAGGTGCAGTGTGAGAAACTGAAAACTTTGGCTTAATGTAAACATTGCTTAGCAACAACTTAAGTTATCAACATTCTCAGTACAAATCCAAAACACACCCTCTTACTGGCTACTGTGAGGAAAATTAACTCTATCCCAACCAAAATCAGCACAGTCTACCTTGTTTGATTTTTATTATTTATTCATCCTCTTATAATGCCCAATTCACAGTCAAATTTCATCCTTCAAATTTCCAAATCTGGCACAGTATTTTATGCCTAACACTTACAGTTTTTAGTTGAAAACAGCTGCTTGCCTCTGTATCTTTGCAGACTATGGATCTAAAGTTATTAAGTCTTATGTTAAGAAATTCATCTCGTTGTACATATTAGTTGCCAGAATATATTTCAATAAAGAGGAAATTCCTGTAGTTGATGACAAAAGGAGAAAGCTGTTTGAAAGTAACTTTAAATAACAAGAAAATCTTGATCATTTTACTTTCACGTGGAGGATGGCAGCTTATAGTAGTGGAGAGCCATAAACATGCTAATTGGAAACCATGCTTCTTACTCGTTAAAGTATAGCAACAGAAGCCAGGAGCACCTATGATTCCTCTCATTTAGTTGGAAGTGCACTTGCTGATCAGATTATTTGATAGTCTGGGGTTCACTTGGTGTTGAGTAGTGACTTGGGGACAGAGGATGGAGTAATAAGTGTTTTGAATTACATTTGGTAAATTTTCCAACTGTTAGGAACATCTTGCATACACAGATCATATGAATTACTACTTTTAATTAACCTAAGTATTAAAAATCAGAGCTGTAGTACATGTAGTTGGAATGTTTGGGATGTTGCAAAAAAATTGGACTGCAGCATTATAAAGGGAATCCTTTTACACTGATAGCTCAGCCTGGGAGTTACTGTTTAATATTTATAGATTTTTAAAGAACTACCCTTGGGAACTGATACTTTTACTGCTGGCTTTTAATTGATGCTCTTCCTTTTGTTTTTCATTTCCCAGAAATGATGTCTTCAAGATTCACTGGCTGATGGCAGCCCTCCCTTTCACAAAATCTCTGTCTTTAGTCTTCCATGCGGTACGTGTAACGGCTCTGCCTTCAGCTGTTCAGCTATGAAGTAGAAACATGGAATCCAGGGCATGCTGTTAGAGAAATCTGCTTGCGGAGGGGAGAATGGGAAGAGGAAGAGAAGTGTCTTTCATATGGAAGCATTGGAACTGAACTGCAGCTGTTTGGTGGAAGTGATTCAGCTTTCATCAGCAAATTCTGAGTTTAAATACAATCGAGATCATGGCCTGAAGTGGTGAAGCAAGCATGTGTGGGGGTTGGATAAGTTCCCTGAATTCTCATGTTTTGGCCATCTGAGGCTGACCTGAAAGCTTGAACTGTGGTGCTGCTTCAGCTACATGGCTTACAATAAATGTTAATAAATGGAAACCTTGATGAATGTTTGTGAAATTCAAGGGCACTACTCTAGGTGAAGTGTTACAGTGTACTGTAACGCACCTAACGTGATAAGCTTTAACACATTCAGTACATAAAGTCTTTGTTGAATTGTGTTGACTTTGCCCTTCTACTGGAAAGAGATTAAACAAAGGTAATGGCAGGCATTTATTCCTTCAATGTTTGTGCCAGCCATGATCTTCACCTCATGTTCATGGTAGGATAACTGCTACAAATGCTTTTGGAGCCTAGTGAATGTGGTTTCCAGTAAAGTGGAACTGGAGAGCCTCTAGTCACCTGATGCAACTGAACTTGAACAATGAAGGAATAAATAGGTTCCAAATGCAGTTGTTTAGTTAAGTGTGGGAGCTGTGTAGGAAGGAGGTAGATTGTGTGGGATTTCCTAAGTGTTAGTGGATATACAGCAAATAGAAATGACCTCACTGTTGCTGAACAAAACTAGAACACGTTGGGAGGAAGTATTCTCTGAGATGTTGCAGGGCTGAGTTTGTACCCACTGATTAGAAAATGAGACTTGGAGTGGTTGTCACCCGTGCCTGTAAGACAGGTCTGCTTGGGGTGCTGATGCACAGCTTGTCAGGTAACATACTGTATTTTCTGCTTCCAGATCGACTATCACTACATTTCTTCTCAGGGATTTCCTATTGAAGGCTGGGCTGTTGTTTATTACATCACTCACCTGTAAGTATGCCAGCAGATTGATGCAATACAGCCAAACAATGAGACTGAATTCCCTGTGGGGCTGCCCCTCTCCCAGCCTCCTGAGCGAACTGGAAAATTGCTCAATCTTTGGTACTGTGGTCTGAATTACAACAGTCAGCCTCGGGTGAAGGGGAAAGCTCTACTTACAGAAGGCAGCTGCAGAGAATTGGTACTTATCTGGGTGGAGGAGTAAAAGGAGAAGAAATGCTTTGCTTTTCTTTGTTCATACTAATATTCAAGTATCTAATTTGCTCTGGGTGTGAATAGTAAGAGGGTACAGCTGCCAGTGTTTTATCCTGTGAATGGATGATTCCCCCAGGAAAAGACTGCATATATTGACAGTTATGAATGCAGTGTAATACTGCTCTGTGATACACAATTGTAAGCAAGTACATCTGCTTCACTATCCCAGGATAAGCACTTGTCAAAATTACAAATAGCAAGGCAGTTGTTTGGGTTTGTGGCTTTACTGAGTGTAGGAGAGAACCTGGGCAGAAGAGGAAGTGTGATAAAATAGTCTCACTGCAGTGTCTGTTTCTCTTCCAGACTGAAGGGTGCTCTTCTGTTCATCACTATTGCCCTTATTGGCACAGGCTGGGCGTTCATTAAACACATCCTCTCAGATAAAGACAAAAAGATTTTCATGATTGTCATCCCACTTCAGGTGAGGACTGAGCTGTGTTGATCCTTCCTGTCTTGGGAGAGAGCTGCTTGTGGAAACTGTAAAAGGCTGTGAATCCTTCACAAAACACTGCGCAGTTACTGCTTGTGTAAGCCTGTTGGTTACAATTTCAGCTGAACTGGGATTTCCCGGGCCAGAAGTTACTTCTGTAATTTTTCTCGCTTTTCTCCCTGTGAGTATGAGAAGGGTGATGAAAAGGTGTCAGCAAACGAATAATTATCTAGAGGGTAGGTATATTGATGCTGGGACACAGCTTGGGCTGCAGAACAGCACTAAGTACTAAGCAGAGAAATTACATGAAAGTTATAATTTCTGAAATGCTTGCTAAATGGGCTTAAGGGAAAAAAAAATGGGGTAGAGGGGGAATTGGGACCTGTAGATCCATTGCATCTAAGGGAAACTTTCCCAGTTTATTCACAGTGGTTAGTGCTTGTCTCCCACTCCAGGAACTGAAGTAAATAGGGGGGCAACACTTCTACTTTTTGTAGACAGAACAGCTTTTTGCCTTTACAGATGGCATCCTTTACCTAGCTGCAAAACCAGAAGTATGTAATTAGTGTTTGAGGTCAGGTATGGAGTACAGAACGTGGTCAGCGACCAGTTTGAATGATCAGCTTAATTAAGAAGAATGTGTTTAGAATGTTTGTCTGTGCGTACGCGGAGTCTTGTTTCTGTGTTTTCATAAATAGCTTTTGCTCCTTTTTCCCTACTGATACAGTAGATTCAGCATAGCATACAACAAAAAGGACTGCGTACTTTCTGAATGTCAGCAGAATTAAGTTCCAGTCAGTTTTATTTCCTGTAAAGATGCTGCTGAACGCGTGACTCTCTTGACACAGAGCTGCAGAAGAATTATGGATATTCCTGAATGGGCTCTTTCTGCAACTGTGGGACAGGTTTTGCTGAATCGGCAACCCACATGTAGTATCTCCTTGGGAAGCTGCTCAAACCATTAAGCATGTCTTGTTCTGTAGGTCCTGGCAAATGTGGCGTACATCATCATAGAGTCGACAGAAGAGGGGACAACGGAATATGGCCTGTGGAAAGAAATCCTCTTCCTGGTAGACTTGCTGTGTTGTGGAGCCATCCTATTTCCAGTGGTATGGTGAGTCACTGTATGTGTTGTGTTGTTTCTGGGCCCTGATGGCTTGAGCTATTTCTGAACTGATGAGTATTGACTGCTACTTAGATCTAAAGATCCTGACAAAGCAAAAAAAGTCACCCCCTTGGAGCCAAGCATTCTGTTAGCTTCTTAAACTGTGTCAGTCTTAACACTTTGATCTTGTGTTGTGGAAGATACTTGCTTTGGGGATGTCAGAGGGACAATAAGGTAAGGTGGGTGGCAATTCTAAGTGTGGCCACTATAGGTGCTCTTAAAACTGGGAATTTTGCAGAAGTGCCAACTCTCTTACGTGGGAAACAGGATTTTGCTTTACTGACTGAGGTTAGAAACTAGGCTGTTAAATTCTAAAACAATAGTGCTGTCTAAGATCAGTGCTGCCTTCAAGCAGTGTAGCTGCATTTTTACTTGACTGTTTAGAAGAAATAATCCCATGGGGAGCGTTTCCCTGCACTTCCTTCCACTCTACTTGGCAAGGAATAATGTTGGTTCTATAAAACTCGACCAAAACACAGATAATTCAGATAAACACTATTGTTGCTTCTTGCCAGTTAGTCAGAACATTTATCTTCTAAATACATTTTAGTCTTAATTGGATAAACAGCTGGCTATGAAGGAGCTTCTGGCTCCTTGGTTAGTAAACAGAATATTCTTCTTTTTCTCCAGTATTTCCTTCTGAAATGCAGAATGAATATAAATGTGTCTAGTAAACATCATCTCTCAAGAGTGTAACTCTTGAGTGTTTCAGAGAACTGTTTCGTAATGCGTGTGTGTGTAAAGAAACACGTGTTACTTAGTAGATGGGAGTAAGCCTCAGCTTGGCTGTGAGGGTGGGTTTCAGCTGTCCTTACCTTCCCAGGTATCATCTCTGTAAGGGCAAAAGCTCACACAGTCCTGGTGGCCTTCTGCCAAGGCTGGGAAATGTCTTCCAAGAATTTTGCACTACCCACTTGTCCCTTCCCCTACTGTAGTCAAAATGCTGCAGCTCTTCTGAGGTTGACAGCATTTGGTTGTGATAAATAAAACTACAGGAATATTGACTTTAATTGTGGAGAGACCGATTTCCTATGATAAAGGTGACTTTTACAGTCACAGCTCTTACTACGTAATGCTAGAAGCAGAGTATTGCAGGATGGTTTGGGTTGGAAGGGACCTTAAAGATCATCTAGTTCCAACCCCTCTGCCATGGGCAGGGACACCTTCCATAGACCAGGTTGCTCCAAGCCTCATCCAGCCTGGCCTTGGACAATTCCAGGGATCCACAGCTTCCCTGGGCAACCTGTCCCAGTGCATCCCCACTCTCTCCAGGAAGAATTTCTTCCTGATGTCCAATCTCAATCTCCCTCTTTCTGTTTAAACCTCTTACTCCCTGCCCTTGTAAAAAGTTGCCTTGTGAAAAAGCCCCCCCAAGCTTTCTTATAGCCCTTTCCAGTGCCTGGGGAGCCTACAGGGTCTCCCTGGAGCCTTCTCTTCTCCAGGCTGAACAAGCCAAATTCTCACAGCCTGTGAAATCTGTGTCCTACTTCGTGATGCACTGGTACAAAACTTGGTTTCCATAAAGGAACTGTATCTGAAGAACAAATGCATTTGGTTGAACTGTCCTGTAACTGTTTATAGTGTGCAACCAGTGTTCCTGCATTGTCATGGTACCAATGTAAGCTGGCAGGGAAGCCCAGGACACAAAATCCTGCCCTGTTTTCATCTGGATAGTGTCACTGAGCTGGTGGGATGACTCGTGAGCAAGGTGACTAAGACTTGGCCCTTGAATTTACATTCCTGCAGGGTAGCTTCTGTTACATAAGTTGCCCATGTAGACATGTAAGCTGTAATCAAGTATTTAAATGAAAAGAGCTTAAAAGAGCAGTAAGATGCCAAATGCTTGGCAGTGCTCTGAATAGTAGCTCAGCTTAATTGTACAAGTGGAAAGCATTGTGCTGGAAAATGCCCCAGTTTCTCACTCTGCTCCCTCCCTCCCACAAAGCTTTCTGTAGGCTGAAATAGGCATTAGCAATCGGCTTTCTTAATCACAAGGAGATACAGATACTTGAACTAACTGCCTGAGCCAGCAAGATGGGGGTGAAATACATCCAGTGCTTGGCAGGCTAAGCGCTGTTAATCATGAGCATAGCCCAGCCATAAAGAGCTAACAAAACTTGTCAGGGTTCTAGAGGGCTGCAGTGAAAAGAGTGCAAAAGCTCATCTACTCTTTATTTTTCAGGTCAATAAGACATTTACAGGAGGCATCAGCAACAGATGGGAAAGGCAAGTAACCCATAATAACTTGTTTTATGCTACATGCCACAAAATAATGCTGTAATTTCATGCCAGCATTGCAAACACATGACACTGACTGAAAAATATGTAAACGAAAACTAGAAATCTGCACTGTATTGTTGTCACACTGCTGCTTTTCCTCAGTGGGTTCACAGGAATTGAATTCATAGCCAAATTGCTTTGACTATGAGAACTCGTTCTCTGGTACTTGCACAGTTCTGAGCTAGACATGACATCTAGAGCAAATCATCTTTACAGGTAGGTGACCTTTTCTAAGGCTTGAGTGTTCAGAAGCAGAACTAGAAATGAATTCCAGAATTGCTGACTATTAGTCAAAATAGATCCCCTTATTTCAGTTTCTGCAGAAGTCTGTTCCTGCCAGACTGGAGGGAAACAAGCCCCATTAGGAAACAAGCAATAAGTTGCCATGCAGCCTAACGGAGTTCATAGAATCACAGAATCACTGGGTTGGAAAAGACCTTAGAGATCATCCAGTCCAACCGTATCTGTCCACCACTAAACCATATCTCTCAGCACCTCATCCACCCGTCTCTTAAACACATCCAGGGATGGTGACTCCACCACCTCCCTGGGCAGCCTATTCCAGTGTGTGATAACCCTTTCGGTGAAGAACTTCTTCCTTACATCCAATCTAAACCTCCCCTGGCGCAGCTTGAGTCCATTCCCCCCCGTCCGATCATCTGTCATTAGGGAGAAGAGACCAACACCCACTTCTGCACAACCTCCTTTCAGGGAGTTGTAGGCAGTGATCAGGTCTCCTCTCAGCCTCCTCTTCTCAAGGCTAAACAAGCCCAGTTCCCTCAGTCGCTGAGTCGAGTTCTTGACTTGTCCGTGTTTGTACAACAGTGTAAGGGACTGCGTGTGTAAAGTCACGTTATGTTTATGGTAGCAGTGAAAAGGAGATGGTGGATGGAAAGCCAACCCAAGTTTGTCTTCTGTAGTGTGTGCTTTTCTCACCTTATCCACTTGCTTCCTCTGAGTTAGTTCCTGGGCTGCAGAGTCAAGCCAGGGAGCATAGCACTGGCTTCCTTTAGAAGCAGGCAGCCATTCCAGTATTCTGCCATGCGATGGCTGACCCTCCTTGAAAGTTTTTTGTAGAAGGTCCTTTGTTGGCAACATCCTTTCAGCTAACATCCTTTCAGCTCAGTCTTGTCCAGTAACTCTTGTTCCTCCTTTCTGGAGACAGCCTCCTATACTTCTTCCAGCCATTTTTTCCTGGTTTCCACTGAGGCACTTGCATTTCAGTGCAGATTGCCTCTGTAGTTTAGTGGGTGAGGACTAAAACTGGGCACTGAACTCACTTCTGTTCAGGCCACAGATTAGGTCTTTTCTTGCCATCTGTTAAAGTGAAACAATAATTAAGGTGAGCCCAGCATTTTTGAGATTCAAAGTTGTTAAAAAACCCAAACAAGAACCATACACGCACACAAAAAACCACAACACCCCAAACCTAAGGGGGGAAAATATATTAAAATCTAATAGAAACCAGTGGAAAAGAGGACAGCGTTGATGATGTGACAAGTGTTATCGGTAGCTTTCTCATCAGTGTGTTCACATGGGTTCTGTGACATTCACTGATTAATTTGTTTTGCCTTCTGCACTGAGCGTATGTTCTGGAGTATTTATGCCCTTACTGTTACAAAGTGTCCTGGTTTAACCCCAGCCAGCAACTCGGCACCGCACAGCCACTTGCTCGCTCCCCCCACGGAGGAATGGGAGAGAGAATCAAAGGAATAAAAGTGAGAAAACTGCATGTTGAGATAAAGGCAGTTTAATAGGTAAAGCAAAAGCTGTGCACCAAGCAAAGCAAACTAAGGAATCCTTCACCACATTCCATTGGCAAGCCTGTTTTCAGCCAACCCCAGGAAAGCAGGGTTCCATCACATGTAACGTGGGTTACTTGGGAAGACAAATGACATAACTCCAGAAGTAACCCCTTTTCTCCCCTGATTTATATGCTGAGCGTGATGTCATACGGTCTGGAATATCCTTTTGGTCAGTTGGAGTCAGCTGTGCCCCCTCCCAACTTTCTGTGTACCCCCAGCCTCCTCGCGGGTGGGGTGGGGTGAGGAGCAGAAAAGGCCCTGACGCTGGGTAAGCACCACTCAGCGATACGGAAAGTCTTGCTGTATTAACACTGCTTTCAGCACAAATCCAAAAGGCAGCCCCACGCCAGCTACTGTGAAGAAAATTAACTCTCTCCCAGCCAAAACCAGCACTCAAAGTCTGCTTAAATTTAGCTGCTCCTTGAAGCAGTCTCTATTCTGAACTGACTTCAGGTACCTACAGCCTGTTTCTTGGCTGAAGCCACCGTGTGTGACTGCAGGTAGAGGTCAGCTTTCTTGTCACTCAGGCAGAACTGCTGGGTGGCACTGGAGCCTGGGACTGCTCGGACAGGGAGCGCTCAGCAGGTAACGCTCACAGAGACACAAACACCCTAAATCGGTGTGGCGTCGGGTGATCAGCCCGTGCCTACTTCGCACTTGAGGGTTCGTATCACAAGATGGTGCTATGGAGTTTGCTTAGCTTCAGCACATCCTGAGTGAGGGAGAAAAGTGAGGTGGCCAACACAGAGGGTGTTCAGGGTTTACTCCGGATCTTGTCAGCTGTTCATCGTGCTGGGTGGAATCCAGCTCGGGGTAAAACCAAGCAGTTCTGAAGGATGTGTTGTAGTGTGTAGTGGAGGTAAAAGAAAGTGGGATCTGGGAAGAACTGGTTGTGTCGTTAGTCAGTGATAAGCACAATAGCCCAAAGGACTGTTCATAGTCCTCTGTTTTGTGGCCTTCTCCACGGGTAATGATGGTGTTTATGATGCATGTTGCTTGTGGATCACCTACTGCCATCACCACACTTTGTGCAGATCCTGCACATTCAATAATTGTCTGTTGAAAGGGAGACTTAGCAGCTGTCAGCTGCACTGCGAATAAAAGGAGCTAAGGAAAAAACATTCAGGGAGAACGTGGGCACCAGGTTGTGGCCAGGAGAGCCGCAGTGCTGGGCCTGGCTTGTGAAATGCAACATGGATGGAGTATTTAGAGGCTGTTGACAGGAGCCCATGGGGAGCGAGTCAGTGGCAATGGGGTGCCAGAAGCAGAATGTTACCCAGTGATGTCATGCTGCTAGCGTGCCTGGTTGAGAAAACCAGATGTGATATGGTTGCACTGTAATAAGGTAAAATAATTCACGTTAACCTTATAAATGCACAGTCTTGACTAGAACCACATGCTCTTAGCTCCGTAGGCTTCCCTTGGAGGCCCTGTTCTGCAGGGGTGCTGCACGGTGTCTTGGCTTCTCATATGAAAAATAGAACCAGCACTGACTCTGAAATCACCAGCGTTTATTTTCCACAGATGATCTTGTGCAGGCAGTTCTGGTTGGGCTGCCTGTGGGTTGCTAGGAATTATTGTCTAGTATTACCTCAAAGGCTGCTTTCCCTGCTCTCTCACACAGACTTCATTAACTTATAGGGTGTCTTGGGGATTTGTATACTATAAATTCAGTAGCTGTTTTTTCCTGGTGCTGGGTCTTCTGGTGACCTTCTCTCTGGTTAGGAAGACCCAAGGTAAATTATTTTTGCTTCCTTGTGTCTATTAGAGCTGACAACTCTAGGACTTCACAGCCCAGTATCCTGATGGTGTTTCCTGTCTGTCTTGTCCTCTTCCAGCTACTTCACAACCTGTTTATCAGATGGCAATCCCTTGGGTCAAGTGCAGCCATGACTGCAGCGTGACCAGACTAGAAATGAAGCAGAAGGCTGGTCAGACTACCAGTCTGTCTGTTAGAGCTGTGCTTGCCAGAGGCCTTTGTGTTAGCAATGTACAATTATTAAAAAGACTTGTTTTAAGTAACAATGACGTGGAGTCACTAGCTAATGGTCATTTAAACTTGATTTTTTAAAGAAGATTATTTTCTCAAGTGGCAAAGCTAGAGGAATGGATCTAAAGCCATAATTATCTGGAGGGACCTTACATGCACAGATGCTGTGGATTGCTAGCAAAGAGTCGGCGTGGCACAGTGATACAGCTGAGTTTGAGCTGCTGGGCTGTTTGCTTTTTTTCCTCTTGAAGGTGATCTTTAACTTTAAAGCAAAAGATCTGACCTACACAGGCTTCTTATCTTGCGCAGCAGTGGGCGTAAAACATCCCATTTTTAGAAGCTTTTCTTTCTTCCCCTCTTAAAATTGCCACCTTCAGATTTGAGCAAGTGCCTAGCTGCAGCTCTTTGGTCTGCCACTGTTGGTTCAGAGGGGAACTGCCTGCCCTGTTTCTAGATCTGCATTACAAACGTCTTGCTTGCAGATTGCAGGACATCAGCCTTGCAAACGAAGCTAGAATTGTTTGGGCTGGAAAGCTGCTCAACTACCACTACCTTGCTTACAGACATCATGAGATAAAGAACAGAGGGAGTATGTTGTAGTCAGGTTGCTTATTTTTGTTTGAAACTCCAAGTTCTTGGTCACTGGACCTCTCAAGTCTCATTACTCATTCCTGTGTGTCATGCCATCTGTTTGAGGGAGGAGTGGGGGCCTGGGAACACCACTGCAGTTTTTGTTCTGCTTGTACCTCTGTGTGTGTGATGGGAGATGTGAAACTCTCTGTGGTCTGATCACAAGCGGTTAATGATTTTCCTGAAGCACTGCAGCATGTCAGAGCTGGCAGCAGAACTAGGGGAAGTACATTGCAGTGTGTAGCTCCCAGGCAACATTCCCCGTGTGCTGTGCAGTGGGCAAATGATGATTAATGCTTTCATGCTTGCCCCCAAGTAGGAAAACCCATTTGCAGGGTTCAGTGTTTTCCCGCTTTCGTAGTGTGGAAATGCCGCAAACAGAGCCCGGTCCTGCGTGGTGCAGAACACCCTCTGACTAAGCTGAGCCTGGCAGATGCTGGGGACGATGGCTCCGTGGAGACCCGTGCTAAAACACCTCTGCAGCTCCCTGGCACGGAGGAGGGGGTAGTGCAAGGGTAAACATGCTCTAGGCAGTACATGGGTATCTCAAACCTTGAGGTCAAACTTAGTGTTTTTAAGTGTTGAGACCTCAACTGTGGGCTTGGGAAATGACACAGGCCTATTGATGTTCCAGTGTGCCACTTCCAGGCTCCCTAGGATCGCTCTCCAGGGTTGATGCAGCAATTACATGTTGGAGATATATTACTTATCCTGTACTTTGGACAACCTTCTGACCCTGGTGGGGAACTCTTTTGCTAAGTGGCTAATGTGTTTCAGAGTACTCAAGATTAACCAGTCTGTGCCACCTTCTCACGCATGACACTGAGAGTTGCTGTTTGCTTGACCTTTTCCTTCTGCTATAGGAATGCTTTTAAGCAGAGTGCTGTGGAGATTATAGGGCCATACTTCTCAGAGTTACTCCTGGAATTGCTTTTTGAGGTTTAGATCTACATGTGTGCCTTCATTCTTTGGGGGGTGGGAATAGAAAACTGCCACTGAGAGTTTGGTAATGGCACAGATTGCATCTCAAGTGCACCGGCGTTAGTGTAGCACGCAAAGCAGTGTAGAAATATTCGTAGCTGAACTTTAGCATGTTTGTTCAAGATGCGTTATGGTTTGCCCTTGCATTCTGGATTATCTGGACTTGAGCTCCCTATGCCCTCGGCTACAGTCCCTTTGTTGTTTTTACATACATACTCCAAAAAAGCCAGATTTATTCATCAAAAAGCTGTTGTCTGGTGTGCAAGGCTGTATTGAATGGTCTGACTCTTTTTCTTCCCATCTTACTGGCTGTCTCAGCATTTGAAATGAGCACAGGGGCCAATCTGAAAAAGACTGCTTATCAAAATCTGTGGTATGCTCTTTTTTCATGGATGCAGATTGGGCTATTGCAGGCACAAGCTGGTAAAGTGAATAGTGATAGAATGGGGGAACTGAGGGAAGCAAGGTGTTGATGTTGCAAATCTTTCTTTGAGGATGGCTTTTATCTCTTTAATTATGAAAGAGGTGAAAACAAGTGTGACTTCATTTGTAGAACTTTTGGTAGGAAGTCTCTTTTGTCTTACCCTTCTCTGCAGTTAAGTAGTATTTTGGGCAGAATGGTTATCGTGCTGGAAACATAAATTTTCCCAACCTTTACTGCATGCTGTGATTGCTGCTGTGTTATCACAGCTTTACAGGTTGGGGCTGCAAGTGATTCAGGTCGTATGTGAGAGCTGCTGGCCTAGCCTCTCTCCTTGCAGGTGTTGCTGTCCGTGTCTGGACTGCCAGGCAAAGGTGAATCCAAGTCTTACTGCCCAGCGTAGACTGAAGTGTTACTGCTTGGAGCGCATTCATCGTGTCAAAAAGCAACCCACAGGCTGCTGATGCCAAGCAATGATGATTTTAGACTCTTCCAGAACAGTGTGTGCTGTAACTTTTGAGCTGTTTGAAGAAACTGGCACAGTTGAGTGTGTCTGCATTAAAACTGACCTTAGTAGCTGATGGGGGAGAGAAGTATTCCTGAAGCTGAGGCAGCTAGAGGAAAGCACCTAGTTGTGTTAACTAAGTCAGTTTCCAGAGGTGGCTCTTCAGTCCTTGACTTTGTGGTGGTGGTGTTCTGTCCTCCCCTCCCCCTTCTTGGATGGGTTGTCTTCCCCCCCCCATGCTCAGCCATCCTAGATATCTGGATGTACTAAGCTATGACTCTTGGTATTGATCAACATGAGGAGTAAGAGATCTGGAGTTGTGCTCTGTCAGTCAGGAGAGGTGGCATTGTGTCACTGCAGCTGGCAACCAGATCCTTGGCTTCCCTGTCCTTTCCTCCTATGCTACATGAATCCAACAGAATTGCCACCCCAGCTCCCTTGGTTGTTGACTGTAAAGCGTTGATGGACTGGCAGTTTGAGTCACAGCTGTTGAGTTGGTGTTCCCTGACTACAGAGCCTGGTAATTCTCATGGCCTGTCACTGCACCAGTTGGTGGCAGTTCTCAAAGATGAATGCGTTGAGTTCAAAATAGATTCTTCTGTGTACACACCGGGATGTGGTAAATCACAAGATCTTCATGGTCACACTTAATGTAGCTCTTCTTTAAATAGGACAACATTGCTTCCCTGCTTCAGGACTTAATGAGCCCATCCTGCATATTTACATGCTTTTAATCCTTCTCCAACTGTGTTATGAAAAGCTTTTAACATGAGGTTAGCTGGTAGAGCACTGGACCCATGAAAATCTAAGTTTTTGCTGTGTAAAGTGGGAAACTAGCTTTTGCAAGGAACAGAAATGAGAGAGATGTCGCTAAACTATTGTCTCAGGGCTGATTTAGGTACCAAGGCTTTAGTTGGTCTTGTTCTAGCAGTTCCAAGTCTTGCCCTCTGTGCTTGGTGAAGTGCTCAGCGCTGCATTGCTGGTGCTGTGCAGATGCAAGTTCAGAGCTTGGGCACTGCTTTCCGGAACTGTATCCAGATGCTGTGCTACGTTCAGTGTTTCATACTGTAGTCTGGAAGGGAGCATCTTCCCAAAACGGGGCTCTGACATCCCGTGCTGTAGGATTGCCCCCACGAGCAGAGTCTTGCCCAAAGCCAACCCAGTCTGATCGGTGTTCAGACGGGTGTTCACAGTACGGGCTTTGCTGCATGGGAACAAACCCCATGTTCCTTCACAAACAAGGCTCACTTTGTTCCTCTGGAGCTCTGGTTCTGCTCTCTTGCTGACAGGCCCTGTGCTCTGTCAGAAGCCACTGGCCAGCACTAAATCAAGACACTCTTAGCTTCGTTTTCTCTACCCGTCGGTCAGTTTATGCCTTGTGAGAGTCAGGTGCTGTTGTTACTGTATGTCTGCTGGCGGAGGGTTTGTGTCTGTCTCAAGGTGTCTGTAGCTTTCAGTGGTTCTCCTGGAACACTGAAGGTAAGTTGGAAAGCGACTCTTGATCCCTGATTATACAAAGTAGGTTTGTAACAGAATGTTGCCCATCTTTGCTGTAACTTATGTAGTGGGAACCTGTGGTTTGAGTGGTGCATTTGATGTGACCTTTCCATAAGAAAAGCTTCGTTTATTTTGGTGTAGGAAGTGAAGCATTTTTTGGTAGCTATTAGCCCTTCACTTCCTGATGTGTAATACTATATTTCACACTGTTGTGAACCTGGAGGACCTGATGTGCAAATGCATGCGGCCTTTTATACATCTGCTTTTTGCAGTGGGCCCTCTCTGTGAGGGAGTGCAGGTGCACAATGTGTTGTGCTACTGCATCTGATAAAAAAAAAATGAGTGCTTGGAGGGAATACCAGGAAGCATGTGGCAGTATTTTCTAACTGCCAGCCCGTATTCATTGGCTCTGAATTGCATCTGCATGCTGTTCTCTCCTGTTGTCACAAAAGCACCAGGAGTCTGTATTTGTAATTCTGCTGCACCTCTAAAACCTGACTCTCAAACCAGAGTTGACAGCTCTTCCATCTGTTGTTGACCTCTGCTCATTCACATGGATATCTGCCACGTTCGTCAGGAGCTGATGCGATCTGTCCCCTAAATGCAGGTTAGCCTGGGGCCTTGGCTTACACGAGTTGTGACTGCAACACACATTTGCTATGAGAACTGTTTAGTATGACTTCCCGTTTCGCTTGTAAGTTGTGACTGAGCCACGAATGATGGAGGATGCTGTGTAGACGTTAACATACTCCTGCTGTGGTGGAACAAGATGTATTGGCTCCCAGAGCTGTGATTACCTCCGAGTCACTTGGGTCAGCCGAAGGCACAGAGCGGGTCAGGAAGTAATCTAGAAAAGATATGGGTTGTCTAGAAGCCACGTCAAGCGCTTCGGGCAGGAGTGAGGTGATGGGATGTAGTTGGCTATATACAGATAGAGGAAGGGTCTATATTGCAGAGTGTGTGCATATAAAACTTAGTGTAAAAGTGAGATCACTGAGTTGCCTTTTAAGAGAGAATTCACCCCAGCCTCGGAGTTCTCCAGTACATAGACAAGTCAGACTGGTGCCACTCAGCGTGCCCTCTGGGCTGTGGGACAAACCTTTCTAGTCTGGGGTTACCCAAGTCCTGGTTTTGACCCCTGGCCTACCTTGCAGACAAGTGTCAAAGGAGACTGTCTCATGTTCCTGATTGATGGACTTTTGTGTTCTCTTGACAGCTGCCATTAACCTAGCCAAGCTGAAGCTGTTCAGACACTACTACGTCATGGTGAGTAAAACACCTGTATGCGTTTGTACAGAGCACTTGGAAGCTGTTCAAGCCTTTTGGTGGATAAGCTACTACAGCTGGTGGATGTGGCGGAGGTGTTCCTTGTTCTGTGTTAGGGCTGTACTTTGGCATCTTGGTCAACTGGGTTACAATCCTCAAAGCAATATCCTTTCTCTTACTGTTGCTTGCATCCTTCTGTCTATCTTTAAATTGGTTCCAGCTATTTGTAACGCTTACTAATTTCCTCTGGAGACAGCTTGAGCTGCCAGTTGAATTGATGGGCTTGAATAACGTACTGTAAACTTGCTAAAAATTAAACTTGGGACCAAATGGTGCCTTGAGATGCATGTGTGGAGTTTCACGTTGAGTCAGTAGGAGCCATGAGCATACCTCCCAAGAGAGCATAGGCTCCTTGATGATTTCCAACGGCCTCATTTCAGACTCTCATCAGTAGTAAAGCAATAAATTGCACCCTTGATTGTTCAAGTTCTACAAAACCCTAATGCTTAAAGCATTCTCCTGCTGTAACTTAAGTGTGTTAGCAGTAGCTTGAGTCACTTGGGCACTCTACAAGCAGTAGAGCCCCCAGCCTATATCTTCTATCCTTATCAAGGAGCATAATAAAGCTAATCTGACACAATGAGTTGTCTGAGAATTGCTTGAGCTATTTCTCTGGAAAAATAGGTTCTATAAGGATGGTGCTGTTGTTCTTATTTGTGCTTTCTCCTTTTCCTTCCCAGATTGTGTGTTACATTTACTTCACACGGATCATTGCAATTCTCATAAAGATTGCTGTTCCATTCCAGTGGAAATGGCTGTACCAGGTATTTGCCAGCAAAGGAAAATACATTCATTCCTTGATTATTTTTTTCTTATTACTTTTTAAATACGACTGCACCAAAAAAAATATTCCATAATGGTTCCTCACGTAGTACTGGAAGATATCAGAGCACAGTGCCGCACCCTGTCTCCTCCTGATTTTTGTCTGATGTGCCTAAGGTGGCAGGAATATATTTTTAGTTTTATGTTTGTCCAGCAAGGCTGCTGGATTATACATGAGATGTCTGAAAGTAATTGCATTATTGATTTTAGTGTTTCAATTTAAAAATGTCTGAAGGAAATTAATCAAGAACATACAAAGGAGAAAAAAAAATTAGTCAGGTTTGCCCTGTGTAATTGAGGCCCCAGGGAGCTGGTGAAATAGGCTTTTGCTCTTCCATCTAGAGGCTTTATTTGCCGAGTGACTCTTAAATACTTGGTTTCTTAACATATAATCCAAGTAACTGTGCAGGGAGTCTTTGGAATACATTAACTGTAGAAAAAACCAAACAACTTAAGGATGGAGTTTTTTTTCCTCCTCCTTTAAAAGCCAAGTCTTGCTGTAATTCTCCAAAAGCACTGGAGTGATGCTAGAACTGTAACTGTATTTAAAGTGATGGGGAAAGCTGAAAGGACAAAGGGCTTGACAGCCTTTAGCCTGGGATTAATGATAACAGGGCAGGAATTGCTTTGTTGTATCTGCTGTGGCACAGGCTTCTTGGCCATTAAATCTTGAACCTTATGAATGAGGAGAAACATTTCATGACCATGAAAGATGACAGGACTGAACTTCAACCTTGTGTTTTGACTTGCAGCTGCTGGATGAAATGGCCACGCTTGTCTTCTTTGTCCTCACTGGGTACAAGTTCCGTCCAGCGTCAGACAACCCTTATCTACAGCTTTCTCAAGACGATGAGGATGACTTGGAGATGGAAGCTGTGTAAGAACCCCTCCCACCCATATTTCTTAACTCCTCACTTGATTTGAGAAAACTAATGTTTACGAACAGTTTACTCTAAGTCCCTCTTTGAAAGAGATTTTGATCTGCCCACATGTTTAAAGATGAGGTGTCTGTTTGGTGCGTGTTAAGCCAGAGGTTTGAGATGTGCATCGGAGTCTGAGTTGGATATTGCAGTAGTGTGGAATAAACTGGTAAAGCTTTTCACAGGGCATAAAACTTCCCCATGAAAACATCATGTAGCTTCTGTGTTTGTTCTGTGTTGCTGAGCACCAACAAACCTTACAGACAGTCATTAATGCTTCATAATTAAAAACAGCCCCAAACAACCAAACCAACGACAAACCCAAACTACCAATCTACAGAAAATGAGTGAGCATGGTGTAAGGTCCCTTCTACCTTGAAGTTCAGCCTGTGGCTTTGCAGAAATTTATCTTAAATAACGCTGAGCTGAGGAGATGGATTTTTCTCAATACTCCTCACTGTTCCATTCCTGGCTGCTAAACCGTGAGGCATCACAAACACGGTAGGACCCAAGTTAGTCTGGAGAAATTACGAAGCAGGGCTCAGGGTAAGTCCCTGTCACTTTCTTTGCAGTAGTTTTTCTGAGGACTTAAAAAAATGAGTGACTTTTCTGAATCTATAATAGAAACTGCCCTAAGAAATTCAGCATGCTGGAAGTGTTGAATACAGCTATAATTGCTGCAGACTCTCTTGCCTTAGTAAGAGCAGAGCTCACCTAATCTCTTCAGTGAAATTCAGCATGCTGGAAGTGTTGAATACAGCTATAATTGCTGCAGACTCTCTTGCCTTAGAGCAGAGCTCACCTAACCTCTTCAGTAGAATCCATTTCATGCATAATTGCAGTTCATGTACATGCTCAGAAGCCTGTTCCCAAGATTTTTTTTTTTCCCCATTTCTGCAAGTCTCTTTTTACCTAATATCGGGTAAAACAAATCAACACTCCAGTTTTTATTGCAGGGGCAAAAAGTCAGAATGCATCTGCCCTCTTAGTTAGCTCAGAAATAGAGTTTATTGGGGAATACTTGTGAGGACGTTTGAGGTAGAAACCAGCCTGAACTACCATGCAAGGAGTTTAATTTCTCAGAAGTATCCCTAGTAACAAAGATCATCTTTCCAAATGCTTGGCAGTTTTTGCTATGGGTCCATAAAATTGGCCATTGGTGCACACAGAATCCAGCCGGTGTGTAGTGACCCTAACATCACTGTGACTTAAGTGTTTCAGTGGTTTATGTACAGAAGCTGTTTTCAATTTGGGAGCTGGTAAGTCAACACCCATGTTAGGAAGGCACCGTCTGCACTGCAAGATATGGCAGGATTTGTGATTGTACAGAGAAGAGCTTTTTTTCCCTATAAGATTGACTGTTAAAGTGAATTTCAACTGTGTGTGATGTGCTTAATTAATTATAGTTGGGGTTTTTTTAGGACTAATAATATGACACCTTTCACATGTAGTGATTTCAGTAAATTGGAGAAGCTGCTAAATTTGAGAACCTGCCAGCTGGAGGAAGCTTAATGAACTAATTGAGTGAGTTACATCTTGCCGTAGTGAAATGGGCATTACTAGAAACCCGAGGATCAGAATTCCTTGTGAGCCTTCTAGTAAGGCGTTTGAGTTTTCCTTGTTGTGCCTTGTGGGTCTGCCCAACTTAGCCTTGCTTGAATTTTTCTCATTTGATTCACCCGAAGTTTTACTCCATCTGGGACTTGGCAGGCTGTAAGCTGGAAGTGTCTCGTCCTTCCTTCCTCAGCTGCATCAGGGAGGTTGGGTCTGCACGTATTTGAAAAGCGTGGGCTATGTGCTTTCTGTGACAGGTAAAGCACTGAAATGAAAGTGTATTAAATTTCTTCTTGACTTGGTCCTGCTGGTCCTATTTTTTGCTTTTATAAATATTAAATGTTGTTTCTGTGGGGAAAAAATACCAAGGCGTATTTGAACAAGTGACTAAGTGCCTGACAGCATCCTGAGTAACCATTGTATGATGTGTCTTTCATGTGATAAATACCCACTTGTCTTCAGAGGCTATAGCACAAGTTAAAAGCCTGCAAACTTCAAGTCTGCCATGTCTTATTGCCAGGTTTTACGGTTGTTTGCCTCGCCCAGAGGGTTTTTGTTAAAATCAGGCTCTTAAAAACGTTTGCTGCAGAAGCATTCATTTTCTTTAGACTCAACATTTCTATGAGCCAGCAGAGGGGAGAGCTGTGAGGTCATCAAGCCTGTTTTCCAGGCTTTCTTGGCTTCCAGCAAAAATTAGGACACTTGAAATGCAGTTTTCTAGCTTATGCCTGTTTTCCTGCGGTGCAAACTGTACAAAGCTCAGTCTGGCAGGAAATGTAAATATTAAGCACAGTGTAGAAATCCGCCAAGTTTCAAGAAAAGTCTGAAGATAGGGTGTCTGTGATAGAAGCAACATAAGGCACAAATCCTCCTGATGTAAATTCTTAACTCTTAAAAGTAAAATACAAATCAAGAACTGCAAGGGTAACTTGTAGTAAGTCTTTTCAACTACCACACTTCTACCTTGGGATAGGACTTTTTCATCACTTCTCCCACGCTCTGCAGAAGTTTTCCTCGTGGAGAGGAGAGTATGACTAACCCTGAACTGAGGACCAGTCTGTTCTTTTTCAAGTAGGGTCAATAGCTGTTCATCATCAACCAAGTGGCTTTCAGCAGATGCTGTGCTGGGCAGCTTCCTGGCCCCGCTCTGTCGGTAGGAGGGCTTGTGGCTGACAGTTCGTTCAAGGACTCTGTTTGAAAAGGCGCAGCCACGCTGGGCACAACGAGTTGTCAGGCTTCTCTGGGGCATGAACGCAAAAATCTAAACAGTGCAGTGGGTGAGGAAGGGCGAAGGAAGCAGTTTGGGTTCTTTACTCTCGCGGTAAGTTATTTCACGAGCTGAATAAGTTTGCTTTGAATGTTAGGTACCGAAGTGCTCTTCTGCACATCTTAGTTGAGACTAAGTTCGTACGTCCCTGTGGGGTTAAGGTACTTCCACTGGCGGAGAAACTGCAGGAAAAGCCATTAATGGCTTTGTTCTCAGTTCAGTAAATCCATCTTGCTGAGTGCGTGGAGGCTGAACTTGTTTTTCATTAACACCCAAACCAGCTTCAACAGAGCGAGCTGTTGTGGTAACACTGACCTACCTTTGCTTATGCCTCAGGATCTGGAGTTTCTCACTGTATCATGAGGCAACCTATTCTGTGCTGAGACTTGAAGCCCTGGTTGGTTGCTTTTCTCTCTCAGGTTGTGCTTCAAGGCAGACTGATTCATGCTGCTCTCCATTAGAAGTGATTTTCCTCACCTAACATCTTTCCCATGCAGAGATCAGCTGTTTTGCTCCACAGCTGATCAGTTTTCACTCTGGTTTGTGATAGCTTGTAAGGGCTTGCTGCTGCCAGAATCGCAGTGTTTCTTGGACTGTAAACCAAACAGGAGGAAAGACAGCTGAGGTGCACTGCTGTAGAGGGCTGAAAGTGCTTCTGTGAGCGTTCAGCCATCCCTTTGACACCTTGGGTACGATGCGGAGTGGGGGAAGAAGACTACAAAATTTCCACAGCGTGCCACCACTGTGTGATGCAGTGTTCAGGGAACACTTTGTGCCTCACTTGTGACAGGTATCCCTCTTACAGCACAAAAATTCTCTCTGGAGATGGATCATTAGTGAGCAGGACTTTTTACAGTAGCATTTTAGCTACTGCTAGCTACTGCTAGAGATGCAATTCAGCAAGCTGCAGGTGAGGAACACTTACTAGCAGTATCACAGGCCAGAGCTGAAGTCCTGATGCTGCTCAGAGGGCTAGAATGAGAATTGCACTGTGCTTGGTCTTAGGGCTGATTACCTGCATTTTACTGGGCACTGTGATGTGTTGGCTGTGCTGATTTTGAGAGGGAAATAGCCCATTGTACACAAGCATTTGAGAAAATGAGGACTTGAGCTATGCTACACCCCATGTCATGAGACCAGAACAGTGCTCATCAGATGGTCTTTACCTTTCACTGTTGAGGAATCCACCCCAAAATCTTCCCAGTTTGTCACTTTCTTGCAGGGCGGGGGGGACAGTGAATGGCCCCTCCAGCAACAAATGACATGACCTGGCTGCAATTTCAGTGTGTAGCTGTTTGTCCTGTCCCTCCCTGACTCTGGGAACTGGATCATTCCCTCTTAGCCATAACCTCTCATCATTCTTGTCATCATCTTGTGTGTGCAGTGAGTTAGGAATCGTATCAGAGTGCAGTGCTAAAATCTAGGCTGTGTGCCAGGGGGATCTCACTAGCTGTGAGTCAAGTGCTGGGACCGCTCTGGTGTCGTGTATGTGCGAAACACCAGTTTATATACCCCGCTATGTCTGCTGTTGCACTGCCGTGTTAGCTGCTCACTTGGTTTGTAGTCCATTGTAATCTTCAGCCCCTTGCTGTGGAATTGATAACTGAGCCCCTTTTTCTGTAATTATGAAGTTTCTTCTTTCTGAAGAGTAAACTTTGTAGCTGTATTGCTGCACTGTCCCACGTTATTCAAGCCATTACTTTGATTTGCCAGAATATTTCTGCATTCTAGTCCCGTTCTCAAACATGTAGCTCTGAGTGTCTCCTGCAGATCAAATAAGCAAGTTCTCTATTCCATTACCCTGGCAATTACTGAAAATACAGAGCAGAAGTGAACCCGGGACAGACCTCTCTGGAACCATACTCAGTGTTCTTTCATTTTTGACAGGAAACCATTAAGTACATCTCAGTGCGTGTGTTTCCAGTTAGTTATGCATCTACTTTAATGGTTTTGTTTAGGTCCTGTTTCCCCAGATTTTTTTCCTATGGGTTTGTGATAAAACCTTTGTCAACAGGGAGAACTTGGGATTTACATGTTCTCTCTGCTGGTAAGCTCTGATCTTTCTCCTTTAAACAGCCTGCTTGGGTTTTTTTGGGTTTTTTTTTTTTCTCCTCAGTAGGGCATAAAGTTGCTGTTTGATCTGTACTCTTCTGACCCTCTCCCCATTCCCTTCAACACAAGCTGACCTAGTCCCGCTCTCAGGTGTCCGACCCACTGACAGTCCCAGCACTGCCTCCGCCGGAGTCGCTGAGCACACCAGTTTGCGTGCGTTATTTTTACAGAAGCGGATACCTAATGTGGGACTAAGGGCTTTATCAGAGAGTATCTGAGGATTGCTGTTCCTCTTGGGTGACACTGTGAAGATGCTGTTGGCCGGTCTGAGGAAAAAACCTTTTCTTACACGGTAACAGCAGGCGAAAGCACACACGGTCCGACAGCGGCGTCTTTGACCAGGGCAGCCTTGCGTATGCTTCCAGGCATCCCTCATGAAGGCAGCGGGCTGCTGGCACTCCTACTTTCAGCATCCAAACTAAGCTTTGTAGCACATTTTTGGAGGGGGAAAAAAAAAATACCTGTGTGGAATGAGAATCTTCTTGTGCACAAGAGTAAAGCAAGAGTCTTGTGCATGCGAACAGCCCGTTTGTGTAGCAGCGGAGGAAGCTGCGGGCCCGAAGAGCTTGCTGATGGCTGAGGTAGTCCTGAGAGGAGCGGTGCTGTTCTGGCCGGGTAAACAGTTCGCTCTGCCTCATGTTGGAATGGTATTATGAGGCTTTATAGCTCGGTGGTCAGATGGCCATGACAAATCCGGACTTAGATGGTTTAAAAAGGATGACCTCTCTCTCTTCTTTTTTGCTGTTCGCTGACTAATTTTGCTATTAGCAGGAGTTGGTGTGCATTAAGCTAATAAGGCTCATTTGGGCCACTGTCCACCATGAGTGCATTTGTATAATACTTTGTACCTATTAAAAGCATTCCCAATGCAGAAAGGCTTTTAATGCACAGAATGAAGGGTGCTCAGCTGTATAGCAAAATGTTTTTTAAGCAAAATTCTCAGGATTTGGCAAATAAACACCTGGTTTAACTGTTTAACCACCTCTGCCATCTTCTTTCAAGTAGGAGCAAGTATTACTTGCTGGTTGACTTTAAGGATAGATGGGGAGGGCCTTGAGGCTCCCGAGGAGGTTGGCCTTGCTCCCAACACCCGTCAGGGCCGTGTCCAAGATGATACCGGGCCTGCAGAACGGTAGCGACAGGGGAGACCGAACATGGAGACTGCTCGGTCTTGGTAAAGAGACTCCCCAGAAGTATGGTTTGGTGTGTGCAGGAGCATGAGCATGGGCTCTTGGTGACAATGGAGGTTACAGTTCTCTCATGTTTCTCCCCTCTCTTCCAGGGTGACAACTTCCGGAGTAATGGAAGGCATGAAGAAGGTCAAGAAAGTGGTGAATGGTTCCGCAGAGCCCCGGGGCGAGTGGGAAAACACGGCATGACGAACTGGACTAAGGCAGCACTTTCAGAGAAACTTTTTTAATTTATTAATATTATTCTCAGTGGAAAGGGAGCAACTAGCACTTCCCAACACTGAAGCTGCAGAGTGGGGTGTGTCTCGGGGGAGCAAAGCAGTGCAGAAATGTAACTATTCCTCTGATGGTAAGAAAACGGCATCTCTTGGCACCGGCGAGGAGTGCGAAGCTTTCCTAGGGACTTTGGGTAGCTTATGGGTTTGTTTTTTATTTTTTTTCCCCCTTTCTGGATCGGTTAGGTCTTCTGAATTGTTTGCAGTTGCGTTCTTAAGGCTGTGTAATACTGATGTGAAGAGAGACCTTTAGTGTGTATGTAAAGTATATATTTTATATAATGCGCATATATATACACACACTTGCTATGTAACATGTATGCTGGTTATTACAAAGCATGTCAGAAGGTGGGAAAAGAAGACGAGAGATGTAAGTATTTTATTTTTTTTTTTCTTTTTATAAACGCTCCTTTTGGCTTGGACAGAACGTTGCAGAGCAAACGCATCGACACAACTGCAGTCATTTGAGAGACTAAATGGGGTATTGGGTTGGAGGAATCCTGCCACTGCTCACATCAGTGGGAAAGTTGATAAGCATCTTCTTGTCTTACATTCAAGTGGACACCTGCATGGGTGTCAGGTTTTCAAATGTCTTGCTATACGGGAAGCAAGTGACTGTTCTCCATTAAAAGCACTAGCCCGTAGTGCAATAAGCAGCAGTGTAATTCTCCGCTGTTCCTGGAGTTGCTCTTGATTCACACCCACCTGACCAGAAGTTACACGAGAGGTGTAAGACTGATGCTTGCTTTTAGGAGTCTGCCATGCTATCTTAACACTTAATTTCAAACTGTGGCCCAGAGCACTTTGATCTGCTTTATAAAGTATTTTCAAGGTATTTCGAAAACCACTCCTTCCTGGCACGGTATAAACAGTACCAGAATCTCCAGTGGAAACCTGGCTAGCAAATGTACTGCAGCATAAATCTCTGGTTCACCTTCATCCTGAGTTACCTCTCTGGCTGGCTAATTGTTCCTCTCTGGCTACGTAGGATTAATGATACTGCTGTTTGCGATGAGCTGAGCTGGTCAAAATGGTATTGCTGTCAAAACCAGGCAACTGTAGCTCCCAGTCCTGGATGTGTGTTGTTAGGAGAAGGGAAGATCATGACCAGAACACTCGGTGCAGGGCAATATGGAAGTTTTAACTATTAGCTGCAAATCTGCAGCGGAGTCTTTAGAGACATGTTACAAATGCCACGTGTGTTTTTTCTGTACTACTCTGGTATTGTTAGTCAGGCAGACTGGTGGTAGTAAGGCATAGCAAATGATTGTTAATTTGGGGGAGGACGGAAGTGGTTCGCTGATGTAATGAGGATAAGCTTTAAGATAAGTCAAGCGAGTATAACTTACTGACCCACTCAAGCCTTAATATCCGTGTAGAGACGTTGACGTATGGTGCTGTCGAGCAAAGTGCTTCTCTCAGGGTGATAGGGATAGGCATCATCATGGAGCTTTGGATGTGCCAGCATCTTTTACGAACTCACTTAGGAATTGCTTTTTTTGGCTGAGGGGATTACAGTGCTGGGGCACAGCTGATTGGAGAACTGTTAGCTACTAGGGGCTTTAATTCTTTAAGAGCAGAAGGGGGGTTGTCTTTCATAGAATCATAGAACAGTTTGGGTTGAAGTGACCTTAAAGATCATCTAGTTCCAACCCCCCTGCCATGGGGGGATTCATGTCTTGAAGAGGGATTGTAGTCCTTTTAAGAAATAAGCAGTCTGTACCAAGACTGGCTGTTTGAGGAGCAGCATTTTTTTTTTCTCTGGTTGCCCCTACTTTTCCCAGGTGTTGGTTCTACGCATCACGGAAATGGTAGAAATGAATCCAGCTTCTTGGATACGTGGAACTGGTTTCTCTTTAGGTACAGCACGAGAACAGCCCTCTTCTCTCAGCACTGTGTTTTCCTCCTCGGCTGTAACTGCAGGTATCACAGCAGCGATGGCTTGTGTTTTGATGTCATTGTCCTGCAGAGAGAGATGGTTTTAGTGAAAACAGGGACTTGCACCACTAGAAAGGCTGTTAGGTGGTCTATGAGCCCTTTAGACCTTCTGTAGGAAGAAATCTTCTGCATGTTATGTAGCTGAGGTGTGAGGAATCGGACTATAAACAAACATAGGCAGTCCCAGCTCATCGTACCCTTAAATACAATACCTGAAAAACATCCTGTCGCTCTCTGCACTGTTATGTTACTGTCTGTCCCTGCGGGAATGTCACCATTTCCATCCAAAGGGCTACTCAAAGAGGATGTAAACTTTGTTCGGAGTAGTCTGCTGGCACTGAGGTATGTAAGGGATGAGGATCCGCTGTCATGAACAGAAGCACAACAACAGCGTGAATCTGGACCTAGAACCTGCTAATACCTTTTGTAGATGAGATGGAATTCTGTTGGGTGTGGCGTTTCACCCAAAACCATGAGGGCCTGTGCCAGGATCCCAGCCTGGGATGAGCTGGTTCCAAACAGCTGCCTGTTCCATACCTCAGCATCAGCGGAGCTGCCGATTCAGCGAATGCGTTTACCTTGGTCTCAGGTTTCTTTTTCTATATGCACTTCTTCTGCTAAAGTTGCCTGTGGTTTCGGTGGATCTGCCAAGTCCTTGGCTCGGTAGTCAAAGGCCAAAAAATGGGTAATTTCTTTTTATCTTGGTATGAAAAGCCATGGCAGTACTCCAAAAGTGTTTGTAGAAGAGCGTTTTTCCAACTTCAGACCTGAGCTTCAGCGCTCGGCTGGCACTTAGTGCGGGATGCTACCCAGCAGCACAACAGGAGCTAGTAAGGGCTAGTGAAGATGAGTGTGGATGTGCAAGTCAAGAAACAGTGATAGGAGGTTCTTACTGCAGTCGTTTCCAAAGCGAATTTCTTTCTGTGGTGGAATTCCTCGGAGCAGGTCAATAAATTTGCCTCGCAGGGTTGTATGATGGATGGGACGGTGGCTGGGATGGAGAGGATGGCTGTGGTTGTGCTTCTGCAGCACAGTGTGTGCTGCACCGCAAAGCATGGGAGGGAGGGCTGCTCCCTCCTTCCTCCCGAGGTGAACCCACATCTGCCTGACTGGCAAGTGCGTGCCTCTCGCGGGTGAAAAGCAGCAGCTTGGAGCTCACCAGGCGGGATAATCGCAGCACTTGCCTTTCACATGCTGATGGCCTGCCTGGTAGGAAGCTCTGGCTTTCTTGGGGAGAGAAAACTAGAGCTGCTCGTGGCTTAGATTGTTTTGGGATACAGCCTTACTTTCCTGCCTTTGCCTTTTCCTGCAATTAAAATAATCGCCCTGCGAGTACACGGTGGCGTAATGACAGGAGTCCTGGGAAGGCAGGTCGGGGACAATTGGGGCTAAATGGTTGTGAAGGCTGCAGCGGGGTGCTTGGCACCCTCTGCAAACAAAACGGAGATGGGTCCGGTCTCCAGTTGCAATGCAGGTTTATGCCCCCACAAATCCCTCCTGACGATGACGTGCAAATGCCACGGATGCGCTCCTCCTTCCGGCTGGAACTGCTCAGCAAGCTGTCTTCCATAGGAAACCTCCTTGCAGTGCAACTGCCAGACTCTGGCGTTCTTCAGGCTTGGAAAATGTTTTCCTTGCTGCTTCGTCAAGAGCCGTACTAAAGGAAAGCGAGACAGAATGGGGTCATCTGGAACGCTGCTGCCGCTCGCTCCGAACGTGGCGGTTCGCCTTGAAGGAGCCACATGCTGTCCTATTAAGCTGCTCTTTCATGTTGTCATCGAACTCAGCGTGTCGTGATCTGTGCCGTGCATTGTTCAGTGTTTCTCTCCAGCTGAGTGCCCTCTTCCTGGATTTCCATGCTGGCATACCCTGGGAGCATGTTGTAAAAATTTGCTGCATTGCAGCATTTTGTCTTGGAGCTGGTAATGTGGAAGATGTATTTTTCTAAGCTAAGTGGCCTCTCTCTAGCATGAGTGCGCCCCCACTGTGTATCCTTCAGCACTGTTGCATTCCTTCTGGCTGTGAAAAGGGCATGTCCTGATCACTCCAGTGTCCATTTGGAGCAAGTCCAGTGGATGATTTTTAGTATGTTAAGCTGGTGTTGGTGGTTTTTTTTTCCCTTCTTACAGTATGCATCTCTGCCAGAAGAGCGATGCAGTCTGGCCAGAGGCAATCAGATTGATAAGAAAGGGGATTTTTCTGTTGTCTATTTGAAAATTGCCAGCTGCATTTGAAGCTAAATGTTGGGTATTTGTATGCTCTGTTGAGCTCTGAGAACTGCAGCTGCTTAGCTGTTAATAAAATAATTGGGTAGAACTGCAGGTATCAAAGGGGAGGGAACCCTTCTTCCTTCCCTCCACCTGCTTTGTCTCCTTCAGTGTGACCTGTCATGATAGCAAGCAGACTACTGTTACCTTAAATGTGTTTTATTGATTTCTGTGTTCTGAACTCTAACCATAAAACGTTTCCCCATTTTTCACCTCTGGAAAACGAGTGTGGAGCCGTGGTCTGCAGCAGATGGAAGGTACAGTGATACTTGAAACATAATGGGACTTCAGGCTGTCTGAAACCTGTGACCTTGTGTGTAACTCCAGTAACCCGAATGTTTCATGAAAACCGAGGTGGTGCTGCCCAGAGGCACTTGGCTGATGCTTCTTTGTGTTCCCTGGGGCTGATTTGCTGGAAAAATGTTTTTCTAAATTGGATTCATCTGGCTTTTATTGTAGCTGCTGGGTATGATGCTGTTTGGGGCTTATGAATCACTTAGCAATATTGGGAAGCGGTGTATTTTCCCCCTTGTAGTTTCTCGCTTGGATACAGCAGTGATCCTGATCTCTGCACGATAGGGACTGGCAAGTAGCTGGGATGGGATTTGAGAAAAAACACTGTGATCAAGTCACTGATGTGTAAGTGATAGTACTGGAAGAAAGTGGCTGAGAAGAGTCACTCCTTGTAGGTTGACTGGCTCAAGAACCCATTTATGTTTTGACTGCAGCGATCCTGTAGAAAGGACAGTTCTTAATAAATATTTCCCTGTGGGATTTCACTCGGTGTTCTGCTCTCTGTGTAATAAAGTAGAGCCTGACCTCCACATCGTGAGAAGCACTTCATCTTGTAGCTAGGATACTGGAGCGTTGGGCTGGTACCTGTTCTGTCAAAACAGACTATGGGTCTAAATAGCTTCCCTTTCCCTTTAGCAACTATTAATGATTAATGCTAGATCCTCCTGTGTCATTAAGCAGCTTTAGGGCACCTTGTACAATGTAGCTTGGAATTCATTTAGTAAATGACCTCCCAAAGGGCTTTTTCCTGGGCACAGCAAGGACCAGTTCTAGGGTTTTGGGTGACCTGTAGATATCCCATTCCTCAGTCCATGTTCAGATGTACAAATGGAGTTATTTTCAGTATTTTTTTAAACTTTATTAAAAGAACAAC